AGATATTTTTCTTCAAACCTCAGAGGATAACTTAAATACTTGAATCTTATTCAACGGAATGATTGTTACTTTTTTTCGTAGTTTTCCTTTTTCAAGGAGTAATGATCCCGTTTTTTCGTTATCTACCACGACCTAACAATAAAAATTTGTAAGTATTTATTTTACTTAAACAAATGCTTATTACAAAAATTAGATTTACATTGTATAATCTTCCTCCTGCACAAATTTCCAAAGCGGTAGAACAATTTGCATATTTAGGGTCAACGCTAATCAACTCCGCGATTAGACCTTTAACTGTACTTCGATCGAAATCTGGTGTCGGTTTAGAATAAATGAATTCTAAATTCGACAATTGTGAAGACAGAGATTCACATTTCTGATATACAATATATATCGAAGTTTTTTTTAAATAAAAATACAACTACAAATTTTATGCAGAAATTCTTCGGTTATGTAATACTTCTGTAATGTCTTGAATGGTTTTCTCTTCGATTAGCTTCTTTTTTAACAGATCCTCCATCCTACTTTGGTCCCAATCGATCTTCGACAAATTGGCCTGAAAAGAAAAATTATTAGAATTATTTGAATTTATAAAGCAAATAACAAAATTTCCAATATTTTCATACATTCAAGTCTTGTGCTGTTTTTTTGGCAGACTCTAAGGAACTAAGTAGTTCTCTGCCATCTTTTTGTGCCTTTTGAGCCTGTGGCTCCTTTTCTTTTAACTCTTTTTCGAGATGAGATATTTTTAATTTTGCTTGCTCTAATTCAGTCTTCGCTTGAGTAGCATTATTTTTCGCCTCTATAATCACAGATGATTAATACTTATGGTAAATATTCTCGTCTATATAAGGCATATATATCTTATGTGGTTTACCTTGAAGTTGTTCCATATACCCATTCTCATGTCCCTCTTGTGCTGAAACTCCTGTAGACAATGTTTGTAAGAGTTCTTCTGCTTTTCGAACTTTTTCACTTTTCTCATCGTGAGTTTTTTTTATTTGATCAAATTTTACTTGTAATTTTTCATAATTCCTCCTTTTCTGCGATAAATTTTGCACTATCTACAAATAATAACATTAAGTCACATTAAGTCCTTTTCTTAATGTTATATTAATCTTTTACTTATTAAATTATTACCTCAGCTTTTACAGACAACAGTGTGTCCTTGTTTTTTCTTTCTTCTGTAATAGACGTTTTATTAAGTTCGCATTTTGTATTAATTCTAACTATTTGATTGGAATATTCTGTTATGCTATTTTCTAGCATTTGAATTTTGTCACCAGTTCCAATCTCCTGTAATATTTTCGATGTTAGATTTATAAGTTATGCAAAATGAATTATGGGAAATTAAATTAATTATTACTTGCCTTTTCTTTATTTAAGGTCGTTTGCCTAATATCTTCTTCTAGATATGCGATTTCGTCTTTTAATTTTTCATTAAATTCCAGTAATTCTTGAACTTTAACTTTTTTTGCTTCGAAATCGGCGCCTGATCTATCGAGTTTTTCCTATGCATTGATTCAAGAATTAGCAAATATAAAATTAACATACTTACGAGGTGTCCTCAATGAAATAACTATTAATTAAACTAACCTGATGTTTTGTATATTCGTATGCAACAACCAATCGCGTCAGTCGTTCAATATCGGATTCTGTTTTCTGAAATTCTAAATATGATCTTTTCTCTGTTCTTAATTTATCTAACTTTGGCCCAATTTCTTCTTTGAGCAACTATAGGTTAATTAAATATTCGCAATTAATTTGGTACATAATAATACTATGAAACTTATATGCTACAAATACTCGCCTCTGTAATTTCTTCGAGTTTTTTTTCTTTCTTTGCAATTGTCTTCAGCGCTTTTTCTTTTCTCTCTTCAAACATACGCGTCCCTGCAGCTTCTTCGATCATTGCTAAAATTTCTGGAGGCTTCATATTAAGAACTTTGGTTATTTTCCCTTGCATGATCAAAAAATGAGGATTATTAATATTGAGTTGAACTGATTGGAATAAGTTTTGAACCACATTTTGTTGGGCCCGATGGCCGTTGACGATGTATTTGCTTTGGCCGCCCAAAATGATCTATAAAAGATTTAGAAAAATTAGTATTTTATTAAATCTCCCCATACTTATTAATTATCAAGAATTCACCTGTCTTGTTATACTGATGCGCGTATATTGCTCGAAACCCACAGGACTATTTTCTCTATCTTCATTATTAAAAACGATAGTAACTGAAGCCTTATTAACCCCGGTTTGACCACGTTTATAGATCAAATCTTGCATATTGTTTGCCCGAACCTATGATTTAATGAATTAGTAAGAAGACAAACATTGAAAATTGTTATCAATGTGTTTACCACCCACCTGGCTTAAGTTTGTAATACCCAATACGAAACAGATCGCATCCAAAATGTTTGACTTTCCAGACCCATTAAGACCAGTAATCGCATTAAATTCAGGATCCCATCCTGAGATAATAGTACGGACGGCATAAGACTTAAATCCATCTATAATAAGTTCTTCTATCCTCATTGTGTGCAAAAAAATTTAAAAAACACGAGAATAGTGAAATATCAGACTCTTATTCGTATGACGTAGCGCGATTTCTTTATAGTACAGTCAGACGATTTACCAAAAATGGGGGGTCCTTAAGGGTAGGGTGTACGTAGATCATTTTTCATATGAGATTTTTATATAGTAAATAAAAAATGCTTCTAATAAAACTTTTTAATATCTTAACCAATTTGTATAAAATTTATATAATATGTAATTTAAACAGT